GCCTAACTTTAGTTTACTTACCCTCAGGGTTGAACTCCACTCAGTTCAATTACAGGTTTCCCTGCCCTTTCTTTAAAGATGTTCAAAGTTGGGAGCTCAGAAAACTACCCTTCATGGGAACCTATGCCTCTGCAGAGTTGGTCTAAGGACTGGCCCAATCAGGAGTTTTGAGAACGGGGTGGGGGTGTCGTGTGGGTGTTTCAAGGGCGCCTTCCTTCCTGGTCTGTTGTCGCGCAGGCCGGGAGCTCGCGCGCACGCCGCCGGGTGATCGCAGACAGGCAGGCAGGCAGGCAGCTGAAAAAAACTCCCTCTGGGGTCTTTGGAGCCTTCCTGGTCTGTTGTCACTCAGGCCGGGGGCTCCCGCGCAGGCCGGGAGCTCGCGCGCACGCCGCCGGGTGATCGCAGACAGGCCTGCTCACTCTGTTTTGAATATTATATTGAGCAGGACTGTGATAGTGAACATCCTTTTCCTGTTCCTGATTTTAGAGAAAAAGCATTCAGCCTTTCTCCCTTTAATATGATGTTGGAAGCAGGTTTGTCATTAAGGGAATTTATCAGATTAATATAAGGCCTTTCTACACCTATGTTCTTCAGGATATTTCTCATGAATGAATGTTGGATTTTGTTGAAGGCTTTTCTGCATCTATTGAGATGATCATGTGATTTTTGTCCTTGCTTCTGTTTATGTGATGTATTACGTTTATTGACCATCCCTAAATACCTGAGATGAGGCTCTTTCTTGGTCATGATGTATGATATTTTGTGATGATTTGTTGCATTCTGTTTGCCAGTGTCTTGATGAGGATTTTTGCATCTTTTTATGTTCCTTAAGAGATCGACCTATAGTTCCGCTTTTTAGTTGGTTTCTTATCTGGTTTTGCAAGCAGGGTAATGCCAGCTTCCAGAAATGACTTTGGGAGCACATTTTCCCTTTCAGTTGCATTAAAGAATTTGAGGAATATTGGTATTAGATCTTCCCTGAAATACTTGTAGACTTCAACAGTGAATCTGTTGGATCCTGAACTTTTCTTAGTTGATTAGATTTTATTTCTTTATTTTTGGTACTGGGGATTGAACATGGGACTTTGTGCTTACAAGGCAGGCAGCAGCACCATTGAGCTAAATCCCCAACCTTGATTAGATTTTTTATTACTACTTCAACTCCACTGGATTACTTGATTATATATGATTTTTATATGTTCTTGGATCTGTTTAGGAATTCATATAATGTAGGGATCTGTCCATTTCCTAGGGATTCTCCAAGTCATTGGAGTACAGATTTTCAAGGTAGTTACTAGTCATTATCTGCATTCTGGCAGTGTCCATTGTGATTTCTCTTTTTCTTTCTAAATACCTTAATATGTATCTTTCTTTTCATTGTAAAATTGACTAGGGGGGTTGTCTATTTTGTTTATTCTTTCAAGGGACCAACTCTGATTCATTGAGTCTTTGTATTTTCTAGTCTCAATTTAAT